TACATACATATATGCATATATGTACGTAAATATGTACATACTTTTTCTTATGTATGTATGATTAAATTATAAATTATATATATATAAATATATTATAATTGTTTCCAGCCGATGTTCCCCCACAATTAAGTTTGGCAACCACTCCGCCAACAAAAACGAAAAGTCCTCTTCAGCAACTTCAACAACTGCAGCAGCTTTGCGAAGCTGACGTTGAGGCTGCTGCAGCACAACAAGACGATAATACAGGTATTATGGATGATTGTAGCCAACCACAAACATTTACTTTGAAATACATATGAACGATTATAATTATATTCCTTGGCATATAAAAGTGTATTAATAAACTTAATTGTGTCTTTATATTTACTTTTAGTTTCCGTTGTAGAGAATCCGGCTATTTGCGCTACCATCACGAACGTAGGCGTGCTTTGCGACAGCGAGAATAATAGCGCTTCATCTGGTTCCCCAGAAGACTCAGATGACTTTGTTCTGGTGCCTAAGAATCTCCCAGAAGATCAAACTGTCATCGAATATGAGAAAAAGTATGAAAATCGTACAGATGGTGAATTAATTAAACCTAAACGTTCCCATTTTCTTCAAATCAGGCATTCAGCCGCATGCCAAGCTGCACAAACGACTAATCATTCAAGTCCACCACGCCCAAGCAGTCTACCAATCTCAGAACCAAAGCCGGTTCCTGCACCAGCTCGTCGGTTCTCGACAAATACAGTTGATCCTGTGGCTGGAACGAATGCATCTCCAGCTGTTGGTAATTATGCAGCTAACATCAAAGCTCAACGCATGTGATCTAATAACTCTAATAATATTGCAGTGGCATCGTCACCAAAGCAAACGGTTGTCGGCATGAGCGGGCAACAGTTTCCTCGGTCACAGCCAATCAGCGTCAAACAACGTGCTGAACATCGCAAGACTAGTGTCAGCAGCGATATTAATTCCATTTCGCCGCCAGCAGTGCAGTTTGCCATTGGCACTCCGCCTGCCCGTCGGCGTTCAGCTTCCGGTAGCTCATTGTCGGAGACGCCACCACCAAGTGCACCTTGTACTTGGCAAGTAAGCCCTGGTACACAAACACAGTCTCCTCTGCGGCGTTCAGGCCACAGTTCGCCAGTTCTTCCGTCTACATTAGCTAAATTGCCTACTTTGGGTAGTCCCACACTTATTGTGGGTCCCGGTTCGGTCGGTTCACTGGGTTCCGGGTCTGGTGGATCAGAAAATAACAATCAGCATCACGTGTTGGGTCCGCGTGCATTTACATTACCGGAGCTAGGTGCTACGGGAGGCTTGCAAAGTTTGCTGGATACAGCTAGCAGTCGGGCCACCGGCGTAGAAGGGCATCAACTTCATACTTTCCATGCACCTGAACTGTCGGAGGAGACACTCATGGACCGCGAGCATAATGAAACACTTTCCAAATTGAATTTTGTTTTGGCACTTACCGACTGCATACAAGAGGTTGCGGATTCCCGTTGTGCACCTCTTTCAGCGCTCATGGCTGTGGGTGCAACCTCCTCTGACCAGCAGTCCATACCGCCACATGCGCCTGAACATTGTAAACGAGCTGAGCGGCTAGTGTTGTTGGTGCGTGCTTTGCATCTCCTTTCGAGTGGATTGAATTTGGCTTCCCAACAATTACGTAGTGGAAATCTTAAACCCTCATCAAACGTCAAGAATGGTGGGTAAACTTGATTCAAAATAAAATTAATATGTGTTATAGGCACGATATGTACAAAAATAACATATACAATCCTTTTATATAGCTTTGCTTACAATGAACTCCAAATATCGATCAATTTTATTCGAATCAAAAAAATTAAATGTTTCTGGTTTGTTGCAAAAAGCAAATGCATTCAACATTACAGCTGACAAAATTCTCTATGACTATGCTTTGGATATGGTGAGTAGACAGTTTATTATTCCTATTTTGTGTAAAGGTTAATGTGGTGATACGAATAGATACTCGGTTACCCAATTGAAAAACGATGTGAATTTAAAATAACAAGTGCAATTAGATCACAATAATTGGAAATAGAGACATCTCGCAGACATTTTTCAAAAGTGTATTGATTCCAACTTTATAATTTTTTGAGTTGATCCACTTTTTGAGAACGTGTGCGATATGGATATATGTACATATGTAGATATGTATCTAAAAAAATTATTTCGTTCATTCTGTTTCATTATTCGCTAGTGTCAAGCGGCCGCCTTGGACGAGTTGCTAAGTAATACAAAAAATTGCTTTGAACGCTACAATACGGCGCACATACTGCTGCATTCATTGGTACAGAAATGCAACCATCCACAGGACAAGATGTTACTGAATAAATGTATAACTGCGAAACAAACTTAAATTATCTATACAAATAGCGCAAATACTTTGTTTGTCTTTTTCAGATCGTGACGCAGTGGAGAAGCGTTTAAATATTTTGCAGCAGCAAGGGTACATATATGTCACCGATGAAAACTCTTAAGGTTCCGAATTCAGAGTTTACTCTTCATTTTCGAACTTTTATATTTTGGTCATGAATTTGAAAATTTCTGACCACTCAAGCCACTGTTCTGCAGCACCTGAAAGTTTATTTAAGTAAATTAATATTTAACCAATATTTTATATAACCCTGAGAGCGAGCGTATGTGATTGAATTAAAGGTGTACCACGAAAATACATTCATCCATATATATATAGATATATATATATATATATACATATATTAAATAATGCAATTTTCGCTTTACCAAAAAAGTCTTTACTTTAAAATTTATTTATGTATGTAAATACTTCAAGGTATGATATGTACCCTTACAGTTATTAGCTTATACAATGATCTGCATTTTTGGGGAACCTATATAAAATAATATTAAAAATGGTTAATTAAACAATTGGGTGTTATTTATTGGAAGTCTCCAGAAGAGAAACAGAGTTTTCCAATCGAAAAATATTGATTTTGAAGAATTCCATATCATTTCTACGAAAAATAATTTTTTCCCCATATAAAACACATAGACAACTTTTAGCCCTTTGAACGACCTCTAAATATTTTTTGATTTCAAAATAAAAAAACGGGGTATATTTTTGTGTATATAACAATCCTAGGGGGCGAGAGTACTAAAATTCTCGCTTTACTTTTTTTTTTACCACCCTAATATACATATCTACATATCGTCACCTGAAATGCAAAAAGACGTAACAAACATCGTCGCTGAAATAAAAAAGAAGCAACTAATAAAAAATGCAAAATTCACTTTTTGATTGATATGTCCATCATTGAGTTACAACTCGCACATCATTTTATGAAAAAGAAAAATTATTTGTCACGACTTTTTACATTTGAGTTACGATGTTGTTATGTCTCTTTTTGCATTTCAGGTGACGATATAAATAGTATATTTATTATGTAACTCTGGAGTGTACGCCATTATATTACAAGTGTTCAGTTATGTACTATCAATATGCAGATAAAAAATGCATTAACATCTATGATTATATGTATGATTAGACCGCTCATCATCCTAAAAATGATGCCAGTAAATTTTTAATAAATTTTCAGATTATGAGAATTATTGATAAATTTTATTGTTTTTAGCAATTGACAATTACATGATCACAACGGAAATACACGAATATATTGCTCATATATGTATCTCTGATGGAAAAATGGAATAACTTCCAAATTCATTTAGGAATGTAGTGTGTCATTAAAACAAATGCTTACAAATATCAATTTAAACTGAGAGGAATTTAATAATACACTAATCAAAATTGATTACTCTTAAACTAAAAATGTTACCTTTTAACACATAATGAGTTTAATAAATACATACGTAAATATGTAATTACCATACCGCTCATTTACTTCAATAGTGTCATAACTCAAAAATGGAAACTCGACAAAAACGGCTTTAAAGTTTTGAGCTTACATATCGACACCTATGTAAGTATTGGTTTGAATTTGGTTAAAGAACGCCCTATCTCAGAATTTAATTGAAGAGATAGGGGCTCATAATGCGGTTCAAAAACGCCCTATTATGAATTTTCATACGATAGACTATAAACGTTTGCAAGCGTATCGTATGAAAAATGTGTTTTTACGTGGCGAGTAATACGATTCGAGTCCAGTTCTCGTATTATCGTTTTCATACGCCCGACAGATGGCTGTGGTTTTTGATCACTTTTTATTGTGAACCAGCACAAATGAAAAATGAAAACCTCTTTTGGTTCTAGTGAGATACTGGTAATCAATACAGCTATGAAATTTATATACAACATGGAAGGTTGCGATTATTTCTGCATACTTAGCTCAATATTTGTATTTTTTTGGATTATGAAACTATTGAAGTAAATAAGCGATATGTACAAATGTACTAGAATAAATGCCAGTAATTAAAGATAATCTTACGTTGTATGCCAGAGTTTTAAGATGAAGTTTTGTTTGATTAAGATCCCTAATTTCTATAGTGAGGGTTTTGTTTGAGTTGCTATGTTATTGCAGAGGATGATCGATATGTACATATCGATGGCTGAGTGAAAGATCGACCTATCTCGGCAGCCAGTTCGAAAACGCTCTATCTCAAAAAACGTTTCAAGAAGGCCCTATTTCAGATTTTAATTGAAAAACACCCTATCTCAAAATTCGGTTCAAAAGCGCCCTATCTCACTTCAAAATGTATTGAAAATATGCTGATATAGCGTTTTTGAATCGGCAGCTGAGATAGGGCTTTTTTGAAACGAATTCTGAAATAGGGCGTTCTTGAAAAGTTTTTTGAAATAGAGCGTTTTCGAACTGGCTGCCGAGATAGGTCGATCTTCCACTCAGCCATCGAATGTAGGTGTATGCCCCCAACATGTATTCGTACATGAAAATTGCCAGTTTGTATAAAAAAATTCCTTCTTTTGAACTTACTCCTTAAATACTTATGTGCTTTTTACAAGTATGTATGTACATAGCGTCGTTTAAAGTACAAAACCGCATAACTGAAATTTTTTGCCAAAAATTGGATTTGCTTGGCATAAGCTCTTGGCTCAATCCTTATTCATCCGTCCTGAAATATACTATCCAGAATTTATGATTGCTATTTAAAAAGGCAACCATTCTCAAATATGAGTGTTTTTACTCTCTAGAAAATAATTTATACACCCTCACATACGCGGTTTTGCATTTTGTTGATACGCGGTTTTGTACTTTAAACGACGATTAGAAGTAATTTAAAGGGAACTGTTGCTGCGACTGCATATGCATAGGAGTTGGGAAGCAAGTACTGTTGTGTCCACGGCCGGTTAAAGCATTTATGGGGTTCGCAGATAAGGCGGAGGTATGCAGACGACTGATGTATTCTGTTTCAGAAGGTAATCTTGATTGAATTGAATATAGATGGGGTGGGACATTCCAATAAGGTTGGGATTTTGGAGAAAATGTTGAGTTTTTATATAGTGTGTTTGTCCAGTTTGGTGATGGAAATGGTAACGTAGTAGGTGTTGATTGATCAGATGGAAAGCATCGATCAGTTATAGGAGGTGTTGGTGGTAAATAGTTGTGTAATGGTTGAAACCGAACATTCGGAAATGTGTTAGGCCTACAGCTGAATCGCCTCGTTTCTTTTGGCTCGAATACGCCGTTGGATGGGGGGATTTTCAAAGAAAGTCTATAATAAGGGTCCGAGAGAAAACTTTGATGAAGTGGATTATAAAACTGTCTCTGTAGATCTAATTGGCTACTCATTTGCGAAGGGTAATTAATTTGTTCAGGATATTGTTGCCGGTCGCAGCAAACTTGATGTTGTTGTGCGTTTTGGGGTGTCGGCTGAATCTGATCAAATCGATGATGAAAAGAAGAAGCCCCTCTGTCGAATGCATTCGCTTGCCGCGCTTCTCTAAGGCTTTTTGGTAATTGTTTTGTAAATAGCTGATCAATTGGATAATGTGAGTTTTTATAAGTTCCACATGCTAGTTGACTCGGCATCGTGTTTGTTTGGGAATTCGAAAAAAATTCGTTTAGTTTTAGAATACCACCTTTACGAAAACCTTTCTGTTGATCATAAATAGGAAAATTACATTTCGGTGGTGGCACTCTCCATTGACAGTCTATTGGACTTATTGGAGGTGTCTCTAAATGCGCACTTCGTCGACTAAAAGAATGACGGTGAAACGACGCTGGCTGTAATTTGTTAACTGCAGTTTGATGTTTCTGATGATGGTTGGCATTTCTTTTTGGAATTTCTGTAGAACTATGATTGCAAGAATTTGGTTGTGAAGTGGAAGATGATGAGACCTTATTGAAAATACTTTGGTCTAACAATTGTTGATGACAAGGTAGACTTGTTTGTTGCGCAGGTAACAAATGTCTCTCTGGCCCATACACAGTTGGTTGTGTATTTAGCACTCCTTGATTAGTATCGCCTCTCCACATTGATGATCTGTAAATGAGTTCTGCACTCGATGGTCGGTGCACAGCTTGAACTGGGTGCTTTTCTACGGTTGTTTCCTTTAGGCTCAAATCTATAATATCACCTTGATTGCTGTAAAAAAGTAAATATTTATTGAATATATGTATGTATGTATGTATGTATGTATATATACATATATATTTGTTTTAAAAGAAATTCGATAAAGTTTACCTCTGTTTTATCTTGTTTTTTGATACATCATCGACGCAAATGTTGGTATTTTTTAGATGATCACCACCGCTGCAGCTTGTTGAAATATTTGCATAGCATGATGCATTGGATTTCATATTTGTAGTACTATTGCTAGCTTTCATATAGCCAAGCTCCTCATACTCTTTATTTGCCTCTTCCTGCGTTTTATCATGCGCTGGGATATATATCTCCATTTCTGTTGGGTTTTGTAATGTTCCAATTTCATTTGGGGAGGATAAAGGTCCGGCATACTTGATTTCAACATGACCGGCGTTAGCATCGACCATTATAACGAAGTTATCTACCCTGTTTATAGAGCTGTACTGAATTTGTGAATCTATTTTTTCTACGTCGCTATCAGTGACATATTGTTCCGTCTTAGCATCGCTATCTTCCATATCTTGTCTGTGTAAATAAATTAGATCATTTGACGGAATTTCAAGCTGTTGCATCTCCGTCTGTTCTCTTAAATCTTCCATTTCCTGTTCCATCTTTACATTTTCCATCTTATTTTTATCATGCATCAATGAGTTGGCGAAATAACATTCACTTGTTTCAGTTGTTGAACCTTTTGTTATTTTGTCATCCCTTAAACTTTCAACTACACAACGTACTTTTTCGCTAGAGACAATTTGCTTAATTATAGGATAGCTTTTAGGATGCTTCAGTGTAGTTTGAATTGTTTTTGCTTTTGAAATGCATTTGTTTTTATTAGTAGTCGCTACACGTTTTAATTTCTTTTTCGATATTAAACAACCAATGCTTTTTCTCTTATTTGTTAATAAAGAAAGGCTCTTTTTATTACGCGAGCTGAATATAGATTTCTTCTTTGAATCGAGTGTTTCCTTAAGGCGTGGCTCAGTTTGATGATGGTCTTTCTGCATTGAAGTAAAATGTTTTACTGATCTTTGTTATTTTCAGAGAAAAATTTGCATTCAAAACTTGTAAGGAGTGCAATAATTTAAATTTCCTTAACCAACCACCTTGAGCCCTCTGTAATCACATTCTGTACAAAGAGAAAAGTTTTTTTTTAGATTACTGACAGGTGGATTTGAGCGTTTGGAATATAAAATATGTATGTATATACGTATATGAATATGTATATATATACATGTATATGTACTTATCGATGATCCTTTGCAATAACGACACAACTTAAAACTCAAAAAAAAAAAACCTTACTATTGTAAGGCCCTCATGTCTCTGATCAATGTCTTATACACACTACTACTTCAGTAATCCCTACTACTTACTTTAGTAACGATTATACTACTTACTTTAGTAAGGTTTATATTGCTTCAGTAAGGATTATACATGGATTAGACGAGGATTATAGCAACGAGCCACTTAACAGTACCTAATATCGTTTTTTTTTTTAGTTTTGAGTTGCGTCGTTATTGCAGAAGACCATAGATATGTATGTCCACACATAAACATCGTGATACCTTAATATATGTATATAAGGCCTTAACTAATTTTTTCTCGAAATTCGGTATTGTATAAACTAGGTTTTTGACAAAATTTTCAATTGAAGAGCTTTTATAAAGTTTTATAACTGTGCTGTAGAGAAACACAAATTTTAGTTATGGCCTGTCTAGGTATGTAGTAAATACATATATTAAGGTAACGATATGTATGTATTTATGTACATGCACATACTTGCACACATACACATGTATGTCTTGTACGATTGTGTTTAATTTCGTAATTAAAGCTTTGGATTCAAGGTGGCTCATTAGGAGTGAAGCTCACGTAATAGAAACTAATACTGGTAATATAATTTTATCTGAATATCCTTTAAGTACTTTTCGATCTTGAAGGTATTTTACCTATACAACTATTTTTCTGATTTCGATCTCTCTCTATACTTATGTACATATGTACATACACATCGCTACCTATAGGTGAAAAGGGGCCAAGTCCATTTTTTTCTTCAAAATTTAGCTTTTGATGCAGAATGGCAGGTAATACGAAACTACATCGATTTTTCGTCTCTCCTGGACAATTCCAAAAAAGGGACTTGGCACCTTTTCGCCCTTGGGTGACGATATGTAGGTATGTATGTATATGTACATATGTATGTAAGTATATTTCACATTTTTAGAGTGAACTTTTACAAATTGCGTGTGCATGTCTGCTTACATGTACATATGTATAAGGTCCTATCCCGTTTTCTTCGGAATAAAACTTGCACAACTGTCAAAAAATAAAAATTCAGAGCGAGAGAGTAACATTGAAAAGTACAGGATCGCTTTCTAGTAAAAAATGGTAACTTCTGAAAACTTCATCATAACCTCCATATTTTAAATGTAAATTTTTGCTTATTTTGTGTGTAAAAACGCTCACACATGTAAATACTTTCAAATTTATTAGAATGCATTTAAACAAGTCATTAAATAACTTTCCACATGCATTAGCAGAGTGCAATTTTTTTTTGTCCCCTCAATTGTCAGAGAACCGAGTACGGATTCGATTTCCTGTAACTAACTGTAACTGACTAATTCTGACGATTTCTGACTCGTACGGGATCGCACCTAGTATGCACGTATGGACCAAAGATTGTCGTAAGCTCCATTTTGGATTATTTTTAGTTATATATGAAGTTTTTGGATATCTCCTTTAGTTTCGGAGATATTAACTAAAATTTTGTCGGTAATTTAGCACAAAGTTTTAGCTCGCATGTCATGCAAAGTGACCGCAAAATTGTTGACAAATGTAGCATACGACAAAATTTTTCTAAAGAAAATCTTTCGTACACTCGAAAACAAATAACAATAAAAATAAAATAATTTAAGAATGATTTGAACTTGTAACATTCTCCGAAACTTTGGAGAAAAGCTATCGTCGAGTTTTGGAGAAATGACATTCCAAACTTCAATCGCAATTTCCCAAATCCTGCCGAAAGTAACATACGACAATCTTTTATCCAGGCGGTGATATGTATGTATGTGCATATGTTATTTAAATCAATAGAGACTTACAGGTATAAAAATGCTAGATGCCACACTTTGACGACGTTTTTTAGACACTTCCCTGCAATTTAATTTTGATAAGAATTATATATAAAATAGAATGAATGTACATACGAGAATTATGCATTGTACATATGTACATATGTATGTACAGTTACTCAAAAAATTTAGTATGCGCTGATTTTTTAAATATTCAAAATGTTTTTCATGTTAAATATTTTTGGTTAAATTTTTTAATTTAAATATAGCTTGTATTTTAACTTATATAATATATGTAAATAATGTGCGAGTTGGAAATGCAAAAAATTACCGTTGATGACGGCCTTCCGCGATTTTCTCCATATAACGAAAGCTCGTAAAAAAGTTATCAAAAAATAACGCGAATTTTACGACTGTTGAAATGTGCGTATTATTGCAAAAAAAAAGATTAAAAAATCTCTTTGATTAATTTGAAATTTTGACGAAAATTTGCAGAATTCTTCTAAGTTTTGTACAAGGTTTGAAACTTGGATTTATGTACATATATTGTTTTTGTTAAAATATAAGCCCAAAATTAAGAAAAAATATTTAACATGATAAACGTTGTGAATATTTAAAAAAAAAGTCACCGTAGATATACCCAATTTTGTGAGTAAATATGTATTAAAATTACTTACAAGCAAATTGAATGCCTCCTTTCCAAAAGCAGCTCCTTTGGTTTAGGTTCAGTGTTGGGTAAATTCACGTTAAGCATTTTTCTGAAATCAAATTTTTTGTAATATGAGCATATTTTTTTTTTTTTTGTATGGAAATCATGTATGTATGTAAGTACATAGTACATGTATGTACTACATATGTATGTATGCATGCAAACGTGTATGCGCATATTGCAAATCGTTCTTTAATTCACAACGGCCCTAACCAGCAAATTTTTTGTTTTACAGAAGGAGCAAAATACATTATAAAAAGTATATCAAAAACAGGTAGGGCTTTTTAAAAAGTGGCATGTAACTTCGCTGTTTTTTGTATTAACACTTTAAAATTTTAATTTTAAAAAGTGTTGGTTAGGGCCTTCATGAATTAAGGTAACGATATGTATGTACAAAGTGTATTGAAATGCAATTCATGATTAGGCAATACTTGAGATATATTTAAACATTTGTACACATTGTTTGCTATCAACGGAAATACACAACCGCACAACCGATATACATACATATAGAACATATAAACGAGTAGTTTTATTCCTGTAGTAAATTTCTACGGCCATATGTATGTACATACATATTTATCCATATCCACATTCGCATTATTCTCGCTAATACACTTCTTAATAAACACTTACCTATTAAATTCTTCGCAATGCTCCTAAGGGCACATTATGAATGTATGTATGTATGTTTGGTTTCATAATTATAAATGACTATCGTTAAATTAGGTTTTGAATATTTCAATTTTTATTTATGTAACTGTCTTTATAATTTAGTTAATACATATTGTATTAAATTTTAAAAGACTAAAATAACGCAGTAAATTGAATTCTTGATGATTTATGTAGGTAGTTTTTGTTTTCAAAAGATAAAACATTTCTACTGCATTGAAACCTGCAAAGGAGTGTCATTTGAGTTTTTATGTCAAGATGCCGACCGGACGATGAAGCCTCGCAGTGTGCTGATTTTATTTAAAAAAAAAAATACTCTTCCACTATTTCATCATTGCTTTAAGAAAGCTCTTTCAAATACGAATATGCAAAGATACAAATGCACGTACATACATACATACATACGTACGTACATATATACCATCAGTATATTCACATCTTGAACACTATCCTTTTTGTAATTCACACATTTATATTGTGTACATCACATATATACCAACAATCATATACATATGTACATATGTATGTACTACATGTGCTCGCTTCATTCATTCCGAAACGTCTTTAACGTATGTATGTATGTATTGTACATATCTATGTATTTAAGAATATATATTCCGATCGTGAACACCGATTCTTCATTAATTTTTTTATTAAATAAATTTTACGCTTTATAAACAAACTATGGTACTAATTATTTTTATTTAAGTATGTATGTATATATATTATTGTATTATGAAAATATATATGTTATGTAAGATTTGCTTCATATGCAAGTATGTGACTTGTAAGCAAACGCTCCACTTCGATACGTTAACGATCAGCAACAATTTTAAACTGATTGCGCCGTCTCATTTGTTTGAGGATATACATATGTAACCAAGGCTTCAACTTTTTCTATTACAGAATATTTTGTTGCGCCTTGGCCTGGCTTGAGATTCGAGCTGAATTCTTGGCGTGCTCTGATTTACGCTGACGTTGGAGTTTCCCACTGAAATTTTAGTTGTCGTTTGTAAACAAATAATCGTAGTATAGTGTACTTGTGCACACATGTTGATATGCAAGTACGTATGTATATACATACATATGTATGTACATATCGTTACCTTAATATAAAAAGGCCCTAACTCATTTTATTTCGAAATTCAGCTGTATAGAGAAGTTGGCTGATTACTTCTTAACCTTCTAATAGAATTAAAAAATAATTATAACAATATTTAATTACGTACAACCTTCCCTAAAAATAACAGAACTGTACTTTTTATTCGATTTTAAAACTACTGTTTGAATAAATAAAAATGTTAGATAGGGCCTTTCTATACTAAGGTAACGATATGTATGTATGTAGATACATATATGCATTTTTGAATGTACATAGGCATCCTACATTCAAAACGAGGCAGTCTCATTGAGGGACTAGTTACTTTCTACCTTTTTCATGCTCAACATCAGAACAGTCGTTAATGGAACACCCAGCGTGAGTATCCAATTAAAACCACATTTTATTCCTTTGAATACCATGATGGATGCTACGTCTTGCGAAAAAGTACAATGGCGATTGCTTCACTTTATACCATTTTGTTTCGTTTGTGAGGATACTACATGTTATTTCGTAAAACTTGTGGCACAGATACCGAAATTACGAATCCAATTCAAACACATCGCATTACAACTTCAAATTCAATTAAACAAAAAGCCGCCGTGCCCACAAGAAAAAGTTTCACCGAAAAGAGCTTAGCACTCAATTAGGGGATTCACAAGACGTGTTAACCGTCGTAAAATCTTAAGGTTAACATCGTTTTTAATTAAAATGGTTTTAGGGGATTTCTAACTAAACCGAAATTCTTTTAAACTGATAAAGAATATATAATTAGCCAACCCCCCAACCATTTTTACCGCTATTTTACATAAACAAGTGTTAAGCTTAAGATTTTACGACGGTTAACACGTCTTGTGAATCCCCTAAATATGTTAACTGCTTAAACTTTTTGCTTGTATAGCACATCCTTGTTTGAAAAATGTTGAGTTGTAGATGTTATTGTTTCTGTAACCTTTTTGCTATTACCAATTTTAGCGTCGACTTTAGATGCATAAGTTAATTTTTTTTTCTGTTGGGTGAGTTTATTCTGGTCTAAATAATACATACATATCTGTGCTCGTATGGAAAAGTAGCTTATGTCGAAAGGCTGACTTTAATATAAATCGGCATTTGCAGTATACGATTGCGAATGACTCGCTGGCGCTGAGCCGTTGAACAACTTTTGGCAAATAAACGTGCAAGAAATAGTTCCGATACTAGAAAGTCAATATTCTTATTAAGTCTCATCAAAAAATTCGTTGTCGTTTAAAGAATAAAAGAAATGCCGCATTATACTAAAGCCAACCTTTCGACATAAGCTACTTTTCCATACGAACACAGATATGTATACAGGGTCTGTTTTAAAATGGGCCAGTTCAATTTGTACAGAGGTAGTAGATTTACAACTGAGCTGCTCAATAATAATTATGTGCCTACATAGGTATGTACATATTTACGAGTATATTCGCCAGAAGTACTGGCACAACATGTGCTTGTGTTTATATGCGTCAATGTATGTAAATATAGAAACCATATTTATAAAAGTAGAAAAAAGCTATTTAAGTTCGCGGCTGGACAAAGACACGTCATGCAAAAACCTTTATGCCTCCAGTATTTACAACTACAACGAAAATAGTGCGAAAGCGCATATACATACATACATACATACATACATACATATGTTTGCATGCATATCGATTTTGATTTTTAAATATTTTGTTTTTATGGTCCTTTTTACCAAAACAAACATTAAATTATTTATGTTTATTTTATGATAAAAAACCTAAGATGTGCGTGCTGTATACGCACATCAGATGTAGGGATATGTGTGCATGTATGTATGTATGTACATTTGTACATACATTCATGTACTTATGTACATGAAATCGAGTCCAAAATTTTTGGATTGCCTTTTCTTAAACACCAAATGGAGTTCAGTATTTACATAGCTTTGGTTGCATTTCATACATATCGTCCTTTAAAGTACAAAACCGCGTATCAACAAAATACAAAATCGCGTATGTGATATGCATAAATTATTTTCTAGAGAGTAAAAATACGCATATTTCCAAATGGCTCTCCTTTTATAAAGCAATCGCATTTCTGGCTAGTATATTTCAGGACGAATGGATAACGATTGAGCCAAGAGCTTGTGCCAAGCAAATCAAATTTTTGGCAAAAAATGTTAGTTACGCGGTTTTGAAGAACGACGATACCCGGTTTTGTACTTTAAACGACGATATACGTATCGTCACCTGAAATGCAAAAAGACGTAACAAACATCATCGCTGAAATGCAAAAGGTCATAACTAATAAAAAATTCACTTTTTGATTTATATGATGGATTTCATCGTATTACAACTTCCCACATCATTTTATGAAAAACATTAAAATAGTAGTCACGACTTTTTCCATTTCATTTACGGCGATGTTACGTCTTTTTGCATTTCAGGTGACGATATGTTTGTTAATACCAATATTCCTAATGGATACTGAGTAGGTACTTATTACTAATAACTGGAATTCATAAAATTGTTTTTAATTTTTAAAATTTTAATTTGATTTTCGTATATAGGGCAACCCTTTAAAACAACTAAAACCACATTTCACATCTACAGGACATCAAGTCCTTTAATTTAACACCTAATTTTTTAAAATTGAACGAACGATACAGATTTTGCTCGAATAAGAAAATTCACTTCAAAAATTGCACAATACTAATAGCACAGTCCCGACAAACTTAAACCTTCTGTGACAGAATAAAAACGGTATAATTTTGAAGGCGAACATCACACTGACCATTTTCGTTGAACAAAGTCATGGTCCAGCACGTCTGAGTTTGGTTTTAGTAGTACTCAAACTTATTTTTGTCCTCGTTCTAAGGTATAACATGGTTATTATGTTTTATGCTTTATTTTACTAAACGGCACATGTTTTCATACATATGTACATGAATTTTGTTTTCATATTTTAATGAAAATGCCAGCAGAACTTTTCACTATACTTGTACGTATGTATGTAAGCACATAGGTTCACATACAGGAATACAGAATTTTAAACACATTTTTGATTAGGCAACAAAATATACAAAGATCGCGAGCTAGCGTGGCTCTTACTGGAGATTCTTTAAAATTTTAGTGGCGTTTTTATACGTACATATGTACATATGTTTTCTTAGAAATGCACAATTTTATAAATATGCATGCTTCGACAAATTTCTATGCAGTGCAATTTTTTTCGTTTTTACCTCTGCATATCTTAACAAACCTTTAGATAATTGCTAGTATTTTGCATTATAACTTAAATCAGTATCGAAAAGTCCCATCGACAAAAAAGCGCTTTCAAATGTAATAAAACTTTGCCTGTTGCCGCTCGGTTAACAAATGGAAGGTAGCCGAATAGCTCGCTAACTCCACGAATACGCGCATAGTTTGCTTTCCGGCGGAAATGTACCAACGGGAGCGTTTTTGTGTGTGTGTGTATGTGTGGCTGGGTACGCAACAGTCGCTAACGCCAATTGTGACACACATTTGCTTTTTGAAAATATGCAATCAGAATTACTTAATCGTATCAGAAATTAAAACAATTACTGATGGCCATCGCCGCTGTCCATAGCAATCAGGAGTATAGGGGTATACAGGTACATATTTATTAGTATATCTAAGTTGCCATCAGCATATAGGTACACACATGCAATGTAAACGCAACAACAACAAAGAACGGAAACAAACAAATGAATCCATTTGCTGCTTATGTATGTACATATGTGCTTCTTTCGGATTGGTGAACGGGTGTCAAATAGTTGTAATAAAAGCAAGAGCGAGTTATAGTTAAAAGCAGCAGCAATTACAAGGCAGTCATTGAATGCCGGTGAAAGTACTCAGCAATAAAAATAAACTTGCGTGCTATACATAGTGTCATGGACACGAATCGCAAAGAATAGAAAGGACACGTCAGCCAGTTGGCGCGCATTTTAACAGCCTTACATATCCATGAGGATATTTTCCACATATTTATTTATGTATGTATGTACATATCTTCATACATATCGTCGTTTAAAGAACAATGCCGCGTATCGTTATTCTGCAAAACCGCGTAACTGACTTTTGCTGCCAAAAACTGGATTTGCTTTGCACAAGCTCTTGGCTCAGTCCTTTTCCATTCGTCCTGAAATATAATAGCCAGAATTGCGATTGATATTTAAAAGAGGCAACCATTCTCAAATATGAGTGTTTTTACTCTCTAGAAAATAATTTATACAGCCGCACATACGCAGTTTTGCATTTTGTCGAGCTTAGTATCCAGCTCTTAAGAAAACGGTCAAGAAAAAATTGCCATTATTTCGCGTGTGTGTCCAAGGAATTTTGACATTTTTTATACCTCACAGCCTGTTGCCTCACTCTTTCCTCAAGAAATAATGGAACAGGCTTTAAGGACGATATGTATGTATAAATGTATGAACATATGTAACTACATTAATTTATATGTTAGCTGATTAAGTTAAGTGAGATTTTGATCAGTTTTGGCTGTTTACATATTTTTCTATTTGTATGTTTTTTATTAAAGCTTGACATTCCATCACCAGCCCACATGAATCCACATTTCAAATAGCGACTCGCTAAAGACTCATATATGACCCCGAATGTTTGCTGGGTTTATTTAAAATCCGGTTTTCTCATTGGGCGACATCTGTCGGAGCGCATAATTTTTGGTTGGCAGCACTGCTGTAGGCACAAAGAACGTAGATTATTTTTAGATAACGTAATTCTCTGGAACAGCTGACCGCCGTCAGTGCTATTACTTGCTGTCTCCATTAGCGATCGTTCGCATTTTTCTGCAAAAAGCTTTTCCAGAGTTTACAAGAGAGCTATTATTAATAATTAATCTCGTCGAATATTTGTAAAGTCAATGTACATGTAATTTTACCATATCAAAAGGTGTGTGACACAGATTTTGAGATGCCGGATGATGATAAAGATGATAATTTAGAGCCGCAGTTGTACTATGGCTTAAGTTTAAAAAAAAAAATAATAAAAAACATATCTATAGATTCATTAAAAAATGTAATTTTTTTAGCAGAGAAAAATGCGCTTAAATAAAGACATATGGCCTTATTTATAAAAAATAAAGTAGGTTTAAAGAGCTTTATAAAATGACGCTTTCATACATTTTTCAGTTTATAAATCTTTTTTAAAGCTACTTTATTTTTTATGAATAAGGCCTATAGTCTTTCACTTCTCGCTTTTCTGGCGAATTAGAGCTACAAAATCGTCACATATATATTCGAGACAACTTACTAATTGGCTTTACAATACAGCCGATGGTATCGTTCCCACGTAAGAGGAACGACGTAGATTTATATCTAGCCAAGAACTGTCACTCCTGCAACACTCACCAAACACTTTTTGGCGAATTTGTATGCTGTTACAGCAACAACAATATAGTTTTAAAACATCGATAGTATTTTTTTAAAACACAAACCATCGATATATCGATAGTTTCGTCGATATTTTTCTACCACTATTTTGTTGCATTGGATCAGCGTCAGCCAATATAAACAAAATATTAAAATGGATAAATTAACAACAATCAGTGCTACTTTATTCCTTGCAGCCGATGTCTTCGCTATAGTCAGTTTAGCTATGCCTGATTGGATAGTAACGGAGGAGGCAGGTAAGTTTTCTATATGCATACATACATAAATATCAAATATGTTTACGATTGGACACAATGACTATCACCCATTTCCAGGAGATATACGCCTTGGCTTAATGTGGACTTGTATGACGTTGTATAATCGCTCACAAGTGTGTTATACACCTGAACTTCAGCCAGAGTGGTTATTGGCTCTCGTGTGCATATTTATTGGATGTATTTGCATTACCACTACTGTAATACTTTTGGCTTCGAGTAGTTGGGATCGCAATGTCATCCCATACGCTCGGTGGGTAGGATTTACTGCTATGGTACTATTTTGCCTAGCTGCAGTGGTTCTGCCATTAGGTTTTCATATAGAAGAGATCGGTGGTCAAGCGTACCAACTGCCTAATACATATAAAATTGGTATATCGTACATATTGTTTGTGTTGGCTCTTTGGATAACAGTTGTCTCGGAGTTGTTCGCCGGAAAAGTGTGTTTGCCACATTTTTAATTCGTATTCATAAGAAAATAATGTAATAAAAATTAGATATTTTATTTCTTCGTATGGTTACTACTGGAACTCCATGGTACAATAATTACAGGTATTGTCTTTCCCAGAGAGTTTCGCTTCACATCGAAATTCTTGCTACCTTATTTTCATTTTCACTCATTTCAATGTAGATTCTTTTATTTTTATTAGGCTCCGCTTTTTGTTTTCGCTCAATTTAATTTTTATAATTTTTCAAAACAAAAGAAAAAACGTTTGAAATGAAGTAAGCCATACAAATTTTGAATTTATTTACAAGCAAATGTTTTTTTACCGGCTTTTGCAAATTAAATAAGTTTTCTGCAAGATATATGGTATATGGGGTATGGAAATATCCCTTTTCCCCAGCAGTAAACGTTTTAGTATGGGCAACAATGATGATTTTAAATAAGGCAGATCCGAATATGCGCTCTCTGGGAAGACAATACCTGTAATTATTGTACCATGCTGGAACTCGTAAAATTATCAAACAAATTAATCAGCTGCTCATGAAACTTGCAATTTGTTACGAGTTTGGCTAAGGTACTTTCTTCGTACATTCTTGTATTTGTTTATATCTTTGGAATACCGTATGTTTTAGTAAGGTAAATTTAGTTAGCTCATAACTTTATAATTATAATAAAGTGTCACCAAATTAAGTTATTGGGATCGATAATTTTATTTTCTTTAATATTCACTACAAGCCAGCAAGAAGCTCAAGAAGTGTTCCACCGTCTTAATCCTCTTCAAAGCAGGATGGGAAAATGTAGTTGTCATTTACGCCTATCACAGTCAGGTGTCCAATGAAAAAAACATGCCTCGGATGATACCTCCTTCTTTTGATGATGATCAAGACAAACGTAGAAAATACTATGATGTGAGGGTATGCACTTGGAATATCCGGACCCTTAATCGGGATGGTGCCTCTGCCCGGTTGGTTGATGTCCTCGGGGAAAGTAAAGACTGAAATTACCACCGTCCATGAAATGAGATGGACGGGCAAGGCAAGGTAAGCGTGGCCGATTTGTCTCATTGTACGATTTGGCTCATATTCGAGATATAAATATATTGGTATAGGTAGGAGCAATATCTACTATTGCAAAAAAAACGGCTGCAAGGTGGCGCTGGAGTCCGAGTTATCGTCATGTGAAGTCAATCAGAGACACCAAGGATCAAAGTTAAATTACCACCGTTAAATAAATCACCAGAACGATTGCGGTCCTTGCTTTAACGCAACTAAACAATAAAGACAATTCTTGATAAATGCCTACAAATACAATTGTAACACTTCTAAGGTATCTCGTCTAATAATACTCCCCCATTTTGAAATTGCCTCAAATTGTACTATACAGATTTAAGAACGATTAACCATCGGACCATATAATTGTTGCTACAAGAACTTCTTCACGGACATAACGCTTCCTAAGGTTATTTAAGATGGACATGGAGGATGACGACCACAAACCCAAACGTGAACGTGATTTAGGTAAAAACGTTGGACCAAATGTTTAAATAAAAAAATTTATTTTGGGCGGGACGAAGTTCGCAAGGACTGCTAGTAATAACATAACCACCGATTTGGTTTTTTTTTTAACTCGTAAACGTGAACGTGATTTAGGTAAAAACGTTGGACCAAATGTTTAAATAAAAAAATTTATTTTGGGCGGGACGAAGTTCGCAAGGACTGCTAGTAATAACATAACCACCGATTTGGTTTTTTTTTTAACTCGTAAACGTGAACGTGATTTAGGTAAAAACGTTGGACCAAATGTTTAAATAAAAAAATTTATTTTGGGCGGGACGAAGTTCGCAAGGACTGCTAGTAATAACATAACCACCGATTTGGTTTTTTTTTAACTCGTAACTTCAATTTCAAAATTTAAAACCAAAGGTTTGTCTCTACGGGAGAGCATTGGTGTTATTGAAGAGATTTAAAAATAATTAACTCAAATGGAGAATAACAAATATTTGAAAACAATTAAATTCGGCCTTGAAAAGAAATTAAGGATTCATTTCTTAGTTTAATATAATCCGCATTATTTTTAATAATAGTAAAAAAGTGACAACTAAATCGATGCATTAACACTACTGAAAATATGAAAATTTTGAATTCCGTCCGATCCTTGAAATAAACTGAACAAAAAACAAAACATCAAACTGTACTTAGATTTTTAGTTTTTGGAAGCATATTTACTGATGTTTTAACAATTATAAAGCTCAAACTACGAAAAACGCGTTTTTATACCTAAGTCCAGATTGTGAGGGGGTATGCAGAATTCTAAGTATGCATATTTTTTGTGCTTCAATAGATCTATAACTTTATCAGTCACACAGTGTTATTATCCCGACGAAATCCTTGACGGTGGTACCGGTTGGAGAACGGTATATGACGGTAGGAGGTTTAGTTTGGGTTAAAGTCTCACACTGACGGAGTTAGGCTTTCGATGCTTCCTCCTCGTAAAAAAAAACATATGCAGTAAAAAGTTAATTATTTAAATCGACGAATAGTTTTATATCAACTTTTGTAAACTTCTATTTATGTGTTTGTGTACAACATACCTCTATTGGTTACAATAATTTTACATATGTTTATAGGCCCCCCATGTTACCGCATAACTTTGGACCACGTTAACCGATTTCTATAATACTTTTTTTTAAAGGAAAGGTGCTACCTCACAGGTGGTCCCATATTAATTTGGTTTAAATCAAGAATGACAGAATTATAGAATTGGCTGGCGGCATTTGGGCGATACTTCCATTGCAAAAGGTCATACGACCGGTGTATTCTTGTCTTAAAAACTTCAAACGCGAATTTCTCATAAAGTTTTTGTACAATTTTTATAAAAAAAAATGTGGGTCTATAGAGCGTGCCTGAAGCTATCTTTTGAAGACCTAAAAATGTTTCTACAGCAGATCTTTATATACATTTCTTGTGCTGAAAGAAGGACTTAAGGTGCAATATTTCACTTTTTTTTTTAAATCTATTAAATATTTTTTCGCGAGGTAATGAAAAATTATGCAATTAAAAAAAAAGTGTGTTAAAGTCAGTGTTGGGTATTCGATTTATTGAAACATTTGGTTTTCGCCAGCAATTCGCGTTCACCTTTGGTTTTTTGGTCGACAGAAGGCATATCCTCTATTGCCGTCTTAAATAACCTGATGAAAGCGTTATGTCGGGAAGAAGTCCTTGCGGCTCGATGTTGAATCGTCCTTGAATAGAACACTTTTTTCTGGGTGTATATATTTACAGATAGGTAAAAGTTTTAATATGTTTGGAAAGGGCCACGCGTCCTTTTCCAATAGTCCCAAAATCTCTATACCAATTTCCAGGATACTACCACAAATGCTTCCAGATATATATGGTATGAAAAATTCGATATGTACGCTCCCTTAATATATCGAAAGTCTGCAGTAGGTGACCCAAATCTGTATAGTATAGTTGGTGGCAATTTCCAAACTGATGAGTGTCATTGGTCCACATTCTGTTTAGTCTGCGTAAAGCAAGCACTGCAATGGTTCTGATGGTTGATTTAACGGGGGTAATTTGAAAAAATTAAACCGATTTTCGGAATCAGTGAGCAATTCTACATATAACTTGGCGTCTGGAGAACAAAATCAAAATTAAAATTTCTGATCCAGTGTAACAACAATTGTAAAGAATATCAGTTTCTAAGACTCAGAAAACGCCAGATGAATCCTAACTTGCACTTGTATTGGCGTGCTCTTCTAAGAAAGGAAATATGCTCTTTTCTGCCTCTTTTTTTTCAGCTCATAAGAGGGTTACAACTTAGAAATCTGAGACTTTTTTGACTTTAAAATGTGTCCGAATATATTTACAGACTTTGCAATTGTGGTAACAGCATACAATTTCCTCAGAGTTTTTGGGTAGTGACTGTCGTGGAAACGATACTTTGGAAACGCTGGTTTGGGCCGTGAATAAAAAATCTTCGTCAATTATCTCTCTCGTTTGCAAAATGCTTCACCAGAATAGAACAGAATAGTACGCGTATTTTTTTGCATTGGTAATAAACTTCGCGCCCGTCACTGTGCTCTCTTAAAACCATATTAAAAATTATGCTTTTCGTATTAACATTAAAATTAAATTGTTTTAAGTTATTTGGAGTATTTAAAGCTTTTTTTTAACACAATGGAAACCATAATTAAATTTGTGCAACTATTATAACATTGCATGTAAACGTTAAAATGAGAGTTACGATGTCACATGTCACCGTGGAATAAGCCAAATATAATTGTGGTATCTAAAAAAAGAGTAATTTTGGAAAAAAACTACGTCACTATTTTTATGAAGCACTAATAATAACACAAATGGAGAAACCAAACTATTTTAACGCCGCTTCTGAACGGCAAATGGTTTTTATGAGAAACTTTTTCAAGGAAGAAATATACACCAATGGTTTGCCATTGCATGCCGAGGGGCGACCGCTGATAGAAAAAAAAAAAACGTTTTCTTATTTAGATGTTTCTCGGGCCAGAGATCGAGCCCAGTTCCTACAGAGGGGTACGTAATAAAAATAATAAGTTAAAGTCTGTTTAATTGCTTATGTATTTATATGTAGGTTGACAAAATTCTGGCCTGTATGGGGATGAAAGACAATCAACTTACGATTTTTAATGTATAGAGGCAAAAGTTTAGTCTCGAAAACCGCAGTATATCCAGTATTTCAGTTCTGAACAATAACTAATGTTAAATGCATTTTTTTTTTTAAGATTGACGGAGTTAATTGAACTTATATACATACTTTTGATATCGAATGGGCATATATTTAGGTAGGTAATTTATGCCTTTCTAAATAAAAATAAAAAAACCCAACTCTGTTGAGTTTTCGTGGCGAGAATGAAACACTAATTTTTAGGTTTGCACGTATTTTAATAAAAATATAAATACATTTTAAGGTAGAATTACACTACAAAATATCAATAGTTGTGAATCTTGTTTCAGATTAAGACTTAATTGTTAATGGTGTTATATAAACGACTTTTGAATTACATATGCTGTGGAAAAATTTTAGATTAAATAAACTGAAATAAAAATTGTATGAACTGAATTAGGAACGAATTCCGCAAATTGGTGTAAACATATTATTACAAATTCATTTCTTTATATCTAAATATGTATGTAGGTGGGTAAAATTCGATTACACAATTTGCATCTGCAATACAAATGAATTGAACAACTGAAGTTTTTGCTAGTCCTTACAATTCAAGAAAACCAAAAATTTGTTAACCAAGATGAAATTATACACTTATTTTTTCACAACTTTGTCGGAAAATAATTATGACTATTTGTATATAAATAAGAAATAAAAATGCTATTTTTTAACTTAGTAAATAACTTAAAACTGGGTATTTTTAAAACAAGAACGCACCTTGTTGTTATTGTAAAATGTATTCATAAATTAACCAAAATCGAAACCTGAAGATTACAATGTTTAGCACGGCGCCGCGGCGCGCCGGGAAGTTAGCATAGCACTGAAATAACGACTGTTTTGTAAAACAATAAATCTAAAAATTATAAATTTTAATTGCTTCAAATCCGTTCAAATTATTTAAGTTTGCCCAAACCTGCAAGCAATGTATTCGAATATGAAATTTAATTTTCCATTATTTTTTTTTCGTTTCATCCCAGTACTTTCTTTCATTTCACAATTATATAAATACGTTAATCTTTTTATTAAATTACATTTATATTTAATTATTATCATGCTACACACATCCATTACTGCTTCGCTGTTTTTCCGTATTGGCTAATAACATCTCCTTTTTATCGTCTAAATTTTTACAATTTTCCGTCGAATTGAGTCTTTACGAAATAAGTGACTAGATTTCCTTTTCCTTTGACATAAGTTAGGCCACGACACTCGCACTCGTAGCCAGCAGCCATCAGTATTTTTGCTGTATTCTCTGTCGTCTATTCGGAATTGAAAATAAAATTATATCCATTAGAACGTATCACGAAAAAAAGGAAGGTAATTTTTCTTCGGCACCCTGTAAAAACACAACTAAATCGGTTTTTTCTATAGCATTTTTATTTGATGCCCAATTTATATAAATGATGATACATCGTTGTAAAGGTACAAAGGTCGTTTGGGACAAATTGAACAAATTGAAATTTTTACATACAGACCGTATATATCTGATTATATTCTTTTAATTTTAAGTATCTACCATTTATTTATGTATACACATAAATATGTATGATATATGAAATATGTATTGATTATATTATGGGCCGTTGCTAAATCCAAAGTAGTCCAATTTTCGCCAAATCTTACGTATAATTTAAAACACATAATAAGCGTGTTTGATCTGACAGAAAATTTAAGCTTTGCAAGTGTCAACTGTTATTTGTGAGCTCTGCTTTGTTTATTTATTGTTAATCAATTTCATATGGGTCGATCTTTATCAGATACCACATAAATAAAAGTTTCAAAGCTTGCATAAAGTTCATAAAAACTAATTAAACTTAAAACAAGTAAGAAAGTCTAAGTTCAGGCGGAGGCGAACATTAAATATCCGGCGCAAGTATTAAATATATGTTTTCCACCTTTCCGAAAGCTACCGCTACATGATAAGCCGGGGTGTATAAATTTTAAGTAAACTAGCATCCTTAAATTTCGAAGTATTGAAATTTCAAGCATTTCTGAAATTTACCGTTATATGAAAAGCGGCTGTAATTTTAGTCCGATTTCAATAATTTTCAACGTTTTGCTTTTATGTGGCAAGCACAATAAAAATACCATTGTTTGGTATAAATTGGTAGAACGGTTACCGATATACATATATGTGATCATAAGTGGGCGGTGCCACGCCCATTTTCCAAAATTTTACCATAAACGTATTTCTTGGTAAAGAATGGTTGCAAGCGTCAATTTGGAATAAATTAGCTTTAATATTTACTGATTTATCGAAGATTCCGTATTTCTCTAAATTACCCTTATATGGACTGTCCGATTTTAAAAATTTTCGGCCATTTGGTATGGTGTACCAAGGCCAACAACTGTGCCAAGTTTGGAAGAAATTGGTGCAGCGGTTACCAAGTTATACACATGTAACCATAAGTGGTCGTGGCTACGCCCATTTTCCAAAAATGTATAATATTCTTATTTTTTGTCTGAAAATTATTGTAAATATCAATTTTGAGTGAATTATCTTCAGTAGTTACTAAAATATCGCAGTTTTCGTATTTCTGGAAATAACCGTTATATGGGAAGTGGGCGTGGTTACAGTCCGATTTCGCCCATTTTCAATACCAACATACCTTGGATTAACGGAAACCTACATACCAAATTTCGTTGAGATATCTCAATTTTTGCTCGAGTTATCGTGTACACGGACGGACGGACAGACGGGCAGACAGACATGGCTTAATCGATTTCTCTATTCATTCTGAGCATTTATGTATACATTTGTCTATATCTATCTCGATTCGGTTTGGCTGTTACAAACAACCGTTATGTGAACAAAATTAATATACCCTTGTGCACAAGTGTGCTCGGGTATAAAAATGTCCACCAAAAATTTCGATTTTTTTAATTCGATTAATAAAGATTACCGTTGATTTTTTAGAATTTTCATATAACGCATGAAAAAAAACTTTATTTTATATGGAAAAAAATGCGCAACACCCTCCACAAATAAAACTCTAGAACATCAACGGTAATTTTTAACGACTTGAAACTTGCACTAAATCTTGCACTTAAATCCAAATTTTGATGAGCAGATAAAGCTGCCAACAGCATCATTTTGAATTTTATTATTTTGACCGCAACTTTATGTAAGTATGTATATATTTAAAACTTTAACTAAGTAATCTAAGTTAGGTTAAGTTCCTATTCTACTCTTTAATTTGAAGTGGTATTAAATCAGGTTAGAATAAATCAAAAAGCGATTTATTTCTTGTAGTCTCTTTAAGCTTTATTTATATATCCTAGCGTTTCCCCAATTTTTATACTTTGCAAGTAACAAGCTTCCTTAAGGTTTTCAAATTAGACATTAGGTGTGTACTCGTACGCCCAACTATCTAAAGTTTTAGAAAACTTTTACTGGTTTTGCGTTCTCGTACCCAAAAAACTTGCAAAGTAGGGGAAATTGAGAGAGAAAAATGTGAGAGAGAGCTGCAAATTTCTGCTGGAAAAAAGCTAAAACTTGCAAGTAAGAAAATCAGCTGATCACAAACATATGTTTGTAAATAAACAAAAGAAAATATGGCCTTTTTTGGCCTGTTATTATTGCAATTTTTATTATTAATGCTAGTATACAACTAAAAAGTGCGTAAATTTAATAAGCACAAC